GCTAGTCCATACGTTGTGGAATTTGTTGACGTACATTCTCAAATTCTCCACCAACGATGTCATCTAAAATAGTATGTTGGTTATCAGTTGGTAATGATAAAGACGTATGCCAAACTATGTCCAATTCTTCTTCAGTGGGTGCTAACACTACAAGTACTTCAATCTACAAATATAATAAAATATTAAAATACTTTCCTCTCCCATGATTAAATAATTAGATAATTGATAATTAAATGTATATCTAAAATTATCGTACCTCTTGCGTAGTGAAAAATTGCTTTACTCTTCCCTCACTCTATATTTTTTTGGCTTCAATCTATGTATTCTTGGAGCCTGTAATGTCTTATACACACGTCGTCCAAATTTGTCTCCAATTTGAGGAAATAATTCGTTTATCCAAAACTACAACAGAGAATTCAAAATTAATATTAAATACATATAAAATTAAAATATAGAGTAAATAAATTAGAAAGAAAAAAATACCTAAAAGGCAGGGAGATATCCATGTAGTATATATCTACATTCATTTTTACCAGACTGTTGCATTCTTTGTATTCTTTCAATATGTGATTGTTGTAACGACTTCAACAAAATAAAGTATGCCTTACGGTCCCAAGGATACATCAGAAAATCGTTCAGCTGCTCAACCATGCTTAAGGTTTTGTAATCAATATATCTTTCCGTTGGTGTCAAAACACATTCTATCAACATCACCAATCCCAATTTTAATTCATTCTCTGGATCTTCACACAATTGGAATGCATCGTAAAGTATTCTCATATTAATTCTTTTTTTTCTTTCAAAATATTGATCTCTAAGTCGAGAATTGTTGGGATCAAGATTAACATATACTTCATGACAATGTAATCATGTGATTAGACAAAATTCTTGCAAGCCAAAACGAGTAAAATGATCGTCCAACCTCACCCACACTTCATTCGTTTTACCACAGTCAACAAATCTCATTGTAAATTCATGTATTAGTTTACTGCTGAATTATTGCTCTTCATCTCTATACATAAATCCATAAAGAAATCCATGAAAACTGCTACTGCTAGAGAGAAAAAGTGATTGTTTATCTGCTTGAAGCAATTTTATACAATCTTTTACATATTGGTAATTGGGGTATTGAGTGATAGTAGCAGAAAACCATTGGTTTGATGACGGTATATAATCTAGAGACATCTGCACAAATAATAGAACATATATATGAAAAATGTCATAACGCATACCAACTTATGTTCGTGATTTCATATACTTATATATGATAAATATCATGTAAGCTGGAAAAAAAAATTTGCTGTCAATGCATATCAATAATCAGATTTAATATATATTTTCTAATTCTGAGATTTTGTCTCCAATTTTTTTTTTAAAAAATTATGATTTAACTTTTAAAAAAGAAGCAAAATAAAGTGAGTTCCGGTCCCCACACGAAATTGGTTCGGAGTCCTTGCACTGCAGGCAGATTCATGCAGGGACTTCGCACGAAGATGTGCGGAGTCCTCGCACTCAGGCAGATTCCCCGCACGAAGCGGGTACTCCACACGAAGTCACTTGCTTCCCACACCACCAACTTTATTTTCGCCATAAACTTCACATTTCGTCCACAAATACCAATAGATTAAAAATAGTAAATTATTCATATAAATAAACATTATTCATAAAAATCAACTTACTTTAGAATTTGTTGTTTAATTCGTTTGAAATAGACTGTAATTAGTTTGAGATTCGTTTGAGATGAATGAATTGAAGATGCAGATGAAAATGAATGAGTTATGAATTTGAGGTGAAGAAATGAAGTAGGTTGGCAAAATAGTTACTAACATTAATTGCATTTGACATTCTTGCAGCAAGATTCTTTCTTTTTTGGCATTTATCTTTTGTCTGCAAGATTCTTTGCTTTTTCTTTTCGTTTTGTTGTGCTCTGCAATATTTTGTCGTCCAAATTATTATCTTTTTTTACCATTGGTATACTATGGACCATGTCCACTGTCTCTCTCTTCCACTTCCAAGAAACCATCTCCATACACTTCCAAATATACACCTTCATTTGGTGTCTGTCAAAATTCAAATTATAAGTCTAATATCTTCATATCATTTGCTTTCTAAATAATCTTAAGATTCTATCTTTACTATAGCAAAATTATAAATTATCTTTTACTTATATTCTCATAATTTTAAATCTAATTTTTACTAATTGTCAGAAAAGATTCATACCAAAAAATTTAATTCAAACTTTAAAAGCATGTTAGAATTATGTCAAGAAAACTAAAATCTCTACACACGCTAATAAAGACACATAAAATACACTATCGTGCTGCGCTTCAAGGCTGGCAGATCAGATGTCGTGAGTTCAATTCCTGGAAGGCTCTTGGAAGGCAAATATTCTCCTGGAAGGAAGGATTTATCCTGGAAGGCAGGAACTCTACTGGAAGGCAAGGTGCAAAGATGGAAAACGACTTGTTTGGCACTTTGGCAGATCAGTTGGGGGGCTCTTGAGCACTGGTCAGTTTGGGGCACAACCTGCGATTTAACCTGTCTGCAACTTGAGGGGCCAAAGTGTAGACTCCAGGATTTAGTCACTGTAAGGTGAATACCTGGATATAAAAAAAAAATACACTAATCGTGCAACGCACGTTGCATCGACAAGTTTCTAATAAAAAAGTTGTATTTTCTAAAACTTTACAAAATGGGTGCTATTTATAAGCTCATCTTTTGAGGCTGAATATCCCACGTGTTCTTTATTGGCAAAGAGTTGGAATAACTCAGTTGGTTAGAGCATGTAGCTGTTAACCACAAGGTCAGAGGTTCGAGCCCTCCTTCTAGCATTTTGTTATTTTAAGTTATTAAATTGTGCATTAGTAGTTTAATTCGATTTTAATGAATTTAGTGGGTTATACACGCGTTCTCACTCATGTCTTTCCAGGCTTGTGACTATTTAGAAGCTCAATGTAAATTGGCAATTCTGTTTTATAGTACAATATTTTCATATCACACTGCTATTTAAATTTTTATTCCATTTTTCATTTATTTTCTCCCTTGCCTATGTATTGAAAGAGATGATGATTGGTGTTGTTTGACAACTTAAAAGTAATCCTGAGTCAAGTATCGAAGAGATCAAAAATTAAATGCAAAAATTAAAATTTACTTTATTGATATTTGCACACTAAAATTAACAAGTAAATATTTTTCACGTACATATTGGGGCGTAAAATCTGCCCGTGCTATTTGCTTGCTCGAGTGAGCAGTTCGTTACAAATGTTTTGCTTGTTTATGCATGTGCGAAACAGTCTAGTTCTTTTTTTGAATTTTCGATTGAATCATCATGTCCTTTCATGCAAAATTATATACTTTCTTCATTTCGTGCATGAGTTGTCAAAAAATTATGTATTTTTTTAAAGGTAATAACTATATATTTTGTTTGGAGGATTATGACTAGATATTAACAATCATATAATATTTTCTTCCTCTTAGAATACTAAAAATTCAGATAAAAATTGTTTTTGTTCCTTTCAGATTTCGAGGATGTTTGGTGAGGATTAAAATTAGATTTTTAGTAGATTGGGATAAAAGTTTCTGAAATATGTGATTAAAAAGTTGTGGAACTCATAAAAGATGTGATTAATATTGATTGTTTGACTTTGACTTATATTAAAATTAGATTTTAATACAAATCAAACAGGCTCTTCATAAAATTTAGATTAAGGGGGTGTTTGAGCCACATTATTTTGGTAATAATGCATTCTTAAATAGTGTATTGATGAGAAATGTGTGGGTAAAAATAAGGAAAAGTTTTTATTTTCGTGTAATATTATTTTATTGAAAAATGTGTGGTTAAGATGATGTCAAATCACTGTTTAAAAATACATTTTTTTAAAATAATGTGGCTCAAACAGGCTCTAAATTATTTTTATTATTCTTCGTGAGTTTTTACCTTTGCTTGATAAAAACTAAGGCTTGTTGAAACCTTTATGCTATTTGGTGGTGTATCTCACAAGCAATGTAAGATCTCTCTCCCCCCTCTCTCTCTCTCTCTCTCTCTCTCTCTCTCTCTCTCTCTCCCTCCTCTCTCTCTCTCTCTCCTTGTTTGTTTTCTATAAACAAGCAAGCCCTAAATCGTTACACGGAAAATGCAATACTAGGCCATTAAAATGCTATCAAACACCATTAAATTGGAAGGTGGAATTCCAATTCCATTTTTCATGAAATTCCACCTCCAATCATTAGAGTTATTAGAGTTATGATTAAAATTTATTTATTTTATTCTCTCTCTCTCTCTCTCTCTCTCCCTCCTCTCTCTCTCTCTCTCCTTGTTTGTTTTCTATAAACAAGCAAGCCCTAAATCGTTACACGAGCAAGACATTTTCTAAACTTTTTCAAGATATCTTTACACAAGGGAATGATGATTTTTCCTAAATCGTTCCAATGTGAAAGGGAAAAAAATTTATTGGAATGTAGAAATTAAGCCCCTGTTTGACCCCCATCATCTGAAAATAAAAATGGGGGAATAGTATATTTTAGAAAAATGAGTGGTTGGAGAATGAAAAGTTTTCGATTTATGTGTAATATTATTTTATAGAAAATTGTGTGGTTAAAGTTAGGAAAGAAAAAAATGAAATGTAATATAATTTAATTTAATATGGATCAAATAGGGGCTAAGCATACGTTTGACAAAACTTTTGGAGATTATAAACAAGTCAAAGTTCATTTTTATTCACACGTTTTATTGAAGTATAATTTTTATTACCTTTTAATCACATATTTACTGAAATATATCAACACGTAATTTTAAGAAAATTTTTGTCAAACAGGGACTGTATCTTTAAAAAAATAATAATAATAAAGAAAAAAAGAAAAGAAAAAGCACATGGTAATCATTACAATGATAAACTAACTGGCCTCAAAAACTAAATTAGAACTTAAGTGCAATTTTTTTACAAATGTTAGGGATTTCAACTATAATTTTCTAAAATCAAATTCCATTCGAAATTCGAAATTGCCAATTATTTGGGGCTTCAGGAGAATAACACAAAACCGGGAGACTATAAAAGAAAATTACGAAAATTTTGTGTCAACTGTCAGCACTCTTTCTGCAGCAAGCATTTTCAGAAAGCTAAAACCTAGAAAACTACAGCAATGGAAGAAGAACACGGAAAAACACATCTGTCGCCGGAATATACCGTCATCGAAGAGTGGAGCGGAACGGCGTCTTCGGAGCTCACAAAAACCGCTACAATCACAATCACTCGAGATTCTGTTCAAAAATCAGCTACCCGATTCAATTATTTTTCTCGGCGATTTCTCGACGCTTTTGTTCCAGAGGCAAATTTTCTCTATTTTCTCAATTAATTAATTTAAATTTCGGTTCAATGTACAATGAAGGAGGGAGGAGTGCCAATGTTGTTTGTTTGTGCTGTGCATGTGGAGTACCTTGTGCTTCAAAAGATTGTACCTTGACCAGATAATTGCTTCTCAATTTGGAATAAAAAATTCAGGTCGAGGTACAATGAAGGAAATGTCAGTTACCAATGGTTGTTTGTGCTTCGCACTGATAGTACCTTATGCTTAAAAGATTGTACCTTGACCTGAGAATTGCTTTTCCCAGTAAACAATTCGATCACGCCTTTGTTTGGCGATAATAAACTGGGATAGGTACAAGGATATTTGCACATTGTACAACATTATAGATGTACTACTTCTTGCGTCAAAGCTAGAACCTTGCCTGATCATTTCGTGCTTGTGCCTGCGATATTATACTCGTACTACAATAAAAATGATAATCCTTACATCTGAGTTAAGCTCTTGTTTGATTAGAATTTTCTAAAATTACTTTTCCTCAAACTCATTCTAACTAAACATATTTCTCCCAATCAAATAATTTTGCAGTTTGACCCATATCTCTTCCATAATATTTAACTCCACATTCTTAGGAAAAAAATGAAAAAAATGAAAAAAGAAAAGAAAAGAAAAGAAAAGAAAAAAAGAATCACTTCTCAGAAAATCAACATCAAACAAGGACAGCTAATGTATAAGTGAAACAAGTTTGCTGATTTTCTTGTGCGCTTAAATAACAATTAAATGGTCAGCAAAATTGATTGCTTCTGCAACTGAAAAAAGAGGCAAGAATGCATTTTTTCCCTTCAAACATTTAGAATATGCTGATGCCACGAGAATGACATTCCTGATTATGCAAAAGTATGATCCAAAAAAGCCATCTTTGATATTGTACTTAATATTCAGGGATTTCCGAGCAGTGTGACTCCAGATTATGTCCCTTTTCAAATATGGGACTCATTGCAGGTTCATAATCATTTAAATTGATAATTTAGATTTCAAGTTGGATCTTTTTCTCAAATTGAGCAGTCGTTCAAGGGTTTTTATTTATTATAGGGCCTTTCAACCTATGTGCGAACAATGCTTTCCACACAGGTGAGGTATTAACTACCCAGCCATTCAATTCAACCCTTTTGTATTGCTATCTAGTGCTCATCTTAAGTGTCTGCATTCTTTTTCAGGCTCTTCTAAGTGCCATTGGAGTAGGTGAAAATTCTGCTACCGTAATTGGGGCCACATTTCAGGTATGCCTATCTTTTGTGAGAATTTTTAGTTTCAAATGTTGGCAAGTATAAATTTTCCTACATTTCTCAATTTTGAAACTGTTTCAGTGGTTTCTGAGAGATTTAACTGGAATGCTTGGGGGTATCTTATTTGCATTTTACCAGGTACATGTCCTGTGCTTTCACAATTGTTCCCAAATTTATTCAAAGCTTGAGTATTGTCAGATTTATACTTTCTGAATGTTGAATTACAGGGAATAAGTTTCTTTATTCTTTGAATTCCGTAATATTTATTCACCATATTCTCAAAGTGGGATCAAGTCAATAAAAACATATATGTATCATAAACCGAAAAAAAGTAATAATAATGATCAGGAAATGATAAGTATGTGAGTTTTGCGATGTCATAGTCCCAGTGACAACCTGAATACATGTGAGTTCAGTAGCTACTGTTGTTATAAGGTCATCACTTCCAGTGAAAATTTATCATGTCAGCAGGAGTGGATGGTCTCTTTATTTGTTTTATTTCTGCTTTATGTTTTCAATACACAGCTTTTCAATACACAGCAGCTTTAAGCTTTAACACCAAAGTACTTCCTTCTGTAGGGTTCAAACCTGGATAGCAATGCCAAAATGTGGCGTCTTGTTGCAGATCTCATGAATGATATTGGTACTACTACAATCATATTTCATTTGCGTGTTCTTTTGTAGAGCTTTTCGAGTATATATCTGCTGTTTCTTGTCAATCTTTGCAAGATGGGGTCCCCAACCTTTTCATGCGTGAGCACTTGGGGTCCCCAACTGGTTTTTCTTGGCGGGTTTTCCTTCATTTTTAAAGCACTCATGTCACCAACTAATTTTCTCATTCATGTTCATTGGTTATTTTTTTCTTTCTTGTTATCAAGTTTTCTTTTACTGTCATCCTTTTGTACTCTTCATGATTTTGGATTATATCTTATAACCTGTAACTGGATGCAGGAATGTTAATGGACCTTGTTTCACCTTTGTTCCCTTCGGCATTTCTGTTCATTGTGTGCTTAGGGAGTATATCACGATCATTCAGTAAGTTCCAAAAAACTACAGTGTCATACCATGTGAAGTAAATTCACATTATCTTTCTGAAACCAAGTTTTTTGAAGCATAAGCATTTGCTTCTAAGGTGCAGTAAGTTGGTGACACATTTGGTAAGACGACAAAATATTAGCTGAATGATGGAAGATATCTTTCCATAATTGTTTATTTTGATCAATTTTATTTTTAAATTCTTCCAGTAAAACCGCCTGCTGTCATGTGTAGTGTTTCTCAATATGCATCCAAGTTCATAAACATGCATCTGCTGAGTAATGTTTATTGTTGTGTAACTTGTGTAAAGTGATTGAGGCACCAGCCACTATGATGAGGCAGGATTAGAGTTTAATTAATCTCTGATGCTACTTTCTTTTAATTTGGTTCTAGCATTAGCCTACCATTAGGCCATTGGATATAAACATTGCCATTTGTTTTCGTTGTGCTAATATGCCACATGAGTCAATGAATAAGTTTCACAAAATACCATGTTTGTAAACGGTGAGCTGCCTGTTTTTTTCTCCCAAGCTCTAAGGACATCTCTATTTTTCTTTCAACTAGCTGGTGTTGCTAGTGGAGCCACCAGAGCTGCTTTAACGCAGCATTTTGCTCTACAGGATAATGCTGCAGATATATCTGCAAAGGTATGATACATGTTAGAGAAGAAATTGCATGAACCAAAATTCCAAGTTTAGAAATTTTTATTATTTCATTTCCCTTAATTGATAGGAAGGAAGCCAAGAGACAGTTGCAACTATGCTTGGGATGGCTCTTGGGATGTTCCTAGCTCACATAACTCTGGGGCATTCACTTGCCATTTGGTTTTGTTTTTTGTCCCTCACCGTATTTCATATATATGGTTAGTTTCACTAGATAGTTTTCTTGTTCATAAGCCTACTAACTGGGATGCTTTCTCATGTGGTAAGTTTTGTAACATCAACGAATCAATTCCGTCCTCTCATTTGGGTTTATTTATTTGGACTTCTGTAGCAAATTACAAGGCTGTTCGTTGCCTTTCACTCACTACATTAAACTGTGAAAGAAGTTCTATTCTTTTGTTACATTTTATGGAGACTGGTCAAGGTGAGATGCAAAATCTCTAAAATTGCTTTCGACACACTACATGTTTCTGCTTGCTCCTACATTTTGAAGTCCTCTAATTTTTTTCATGCTTTCATATGGATCATGAGTTTAACTATGTGACATTTTTTCTTCCAGACATGAAATAGTAATACTTGAAATGAGTACTTTATGTTTAGAAACATAGACCTATCTGCTTTTTCCCCTGATTAGTTGAGTTTTTCTATACTATTAGCCTGCCACATCAATTTTCAATTGAAAATCCAAATGCAGACTTCTAGTCAAAGTTATCATATTATGTACACTAAAATACACTGACCTGAAAACATTCTCTGAACTATTTTCCAGTTTTCACTCCAAAACAGGTCTCATTCATGGAGCATGTTTTACCACTGTGGATGAGTTCATGGAGCACGAATAGGGTTAAATTTTTGTACCAGAGGGTATGCTTAGGTATCCGGATTTCTTTGTTCGATCATCGTGAAATGTGAGTTTTCAGCTTTTATCCCATTTATTTGATGTCTAGCCTTTAGAAATCTTAGGATTGTTCATGCTGCTTTATAGCTCCTAATACCATTTCCTGTTACTCTTATCCTTAACTTAAATATTTATTTCAATACATTTTCAGTTAATATGACTCGAAGGACTTCCTTGCAATATTTTACTTGAATACAGAATGAAATAGCATATGAAATGAATGCTAGCATGCATAACAAATTCTCACAAACCATCTCAGTAAAAGTAATAGCAATTCAACTTTTAGGTAAAAAAGGTGGAATCTTAATTAAGATTGATTAAAATAACACGGTATCTCCTTTTTTTTGCCAAATTCAAGAAACACAATCATCCACAACATTGAATTCAATTCCTAAAAACAGTAATCATCTTCATAAATTGGAAGATCTAGGAATAAAATCCTTCAGGTAAAACAACGCACCTGGGACTAGATGGATACACACATCCAGAAGTTGACGCTGTAAATAATCAAAACAAACAAAAAAAAAATGTAAGCAAAAGGGTAAAAAAAAAAAATAAATTATTTTAAGATAAGAAAATATGCTTTTGGAGGTATTAATTCTTGAAAGACTTACAAGAAGGGGGAGATTGAGATACAGTTGCAGTGTTTGCAAAATTACAGCTCATAGCGGTTTGTCCCTTCCTCTGGTAATAGCTATTCACTGCATAGTTGCAGTGATCTTTGACAGTATTTGGGTTATAACAAGGGCCATTTTGCGTTATTGGAGTACAATCTGCACCAGCTCCACAGGCATAATCTATGTTCTTCTGATAAACATCTGTACTCAGTCCATCATTGCAAATACAATAAGCAGCATCTGCCCAAAAAAAAAAAACACAATGATGGGGTGGATGGGGGAAGAAAGAAGGCAAAAATATTAGCTCAAATAAAAAAAATCAATCTTTTTCAAGAAACTGGAATCACAAGCTCTAATCTTGAACAAAAGATCAACCATTTTACAAATCTTTAGTAACAAAGGGAGAAAAATGAGGGAATTTTGAGGAAAAAAATGACAAAGAACCATATTTAAAAGTTTAAAATAAAAGTATTAAAAAGATAATAAACCAAAAATCAAGAAACTTACCTGAATGGCCAGTGATGGAGAAGAGAAATACTAAAAATAACACAAAAACAGCCATGATTATTTCAAGATCCTAAAGAAATTATGAGTGCTGAAAGAGTTCTTGAGAGGAAGAAGTTCCGAAGATAAGACAGAGAAACAGGAAAAGATAGAAACTTTTTATAGTGAGAGAATGGAGATTTCTAGATAGTGAGAAAGAAGTGACGGTGAGTAGAGTAGTATAACCATTGTACGTTGCTTTGGCGTTTTATACGTTAACAATGGTGTCAAACCATTTTGTTAAACGTACCTGACTATGTGTCTTTTCGAACGGTCATAAACCAATGTGTATGGTCAAAAACTTAACCCACCTTGGTTAGATTAACTCTCACTCTGGAAAATTGTAATTGGGAGAAGAATTTGTTTCAAATTTTTTATTTTTTTATCTTACAAGAAATTGGGGAGAAAATATATTATGACAACAACAATTAATTTGAAAAATAAGTATTTTTATCGTAATAATCTTGCTATTTCTCGTTTGTTGATCTTTAAAATCAAGTTTGATGTTCGTTTAAATACTGAAAAGTTAGATTGATTATTTCTTGCAATGAATTGTGAAGATATGCATTGTTGAACGGGCAAGAAATTCAACATTTAAGGCCCCGTTTGGTAGGGATTTTTTGCCTCAAAAAATTATTTTTTGACCGTTATTTTACTATTCAAGCCGTAATTTTTGACTTCTTCTCTCACACGTGGACCCCACTTTTCTTCTAACGGTCAAAAAATCAATTCTCAAAATCCCTACCAAACGGGCCCTAAGTATGCTTGCTTGGTAAAAAGATAAAAGAGGAAATTAAAGTTTTTAGTTTTAAAAAATGATAGAAGCGAGCAATTATATTAATGGAATGCTACAAAAGTAATGAAAAACTTTATTTTCGCAACAACGAGATCCTTTTTACTACTTAAAAAGATAATTATTTTATTAAAATTTAACAACAAAAGTCACTTTCTTTCCGAATCACTTGTTGTTACGAAGATTTTAGCAGACGTTTAATATCCAATCTTAGATAATACAATAAGTGAACTTTCAACTTTTTTACTTCTTGCAGCCAGTACTTTGAAAATTGTAATTAACAGGATTCAACTGTCGTTGCTCCAATTATAGTTATATATTTTTGGCATTTGGAGAGTCAATCATGGATGGCTAACTACTATGAAGTCTTTGTTATGAAGGTAATTTAGTTGATAACTATTGAATTTGTCGTTGGGCACACAGCTGCCAGGCACTGACATAATACATGTCAGATGTTTTGCTTTCTTAAGCAACTCTGTTAAGAGGTTAGAATTTCCAAAGTCTATTTGAGGTTTCAATTTTACTCTGTGAAGGCATGAACTTCATGGATGTGGAGAACACTTAAGAAGCATATTCATGATTACCTTTACAAAATCATGCGACCTAGGGAGAAAGATATCATTCAAGGGGTAAAACACTCATTTTATGGAAATGGGAAATGAGGAAGATGAAATTTATAGTTGGGCAGCCATTTTGTCACGGGGTGCAACCAAAGACAAGTGGTTGTATGTGCACTTGTGTTTTGCAACTTTTTGATTATGGATCCAGAGATTTGTCAGTGGTTGCATAGTATATGTTGAGGTTGAAGTTTTAACTGATGGTTGGTGATTGTTATGTTGACAATGACAATTAATAGATGATAGGAATTATGGTTTGGTGGGATTTTGATGGTGACTGTGGTGATTGAAGGCGGCAAGTGGAGATGGACGTAAACGCGGATAGGGACATTATTATTGAATATCAAAGTGAAACGTTCCAAAATGTTAGGATTTCTGCAGTTGGTAGGATTTGGTGGCTGGAACCTTTTAGGAGCAGAACCACCCATGCCTTTTATTTGTCTATCTATCATGCAAGACCTGAATTTTGTGTTTTCTGGGAAAGGATAATGAAACTCGAAGCCAATCATGGTTTTAGAGCTGATATATCAGATGTTGAAAGCAAAAGCGAAGGCACAAAAACCACACACCCCTAACAGCTCCTGCTCTGTAAAATTTGCCTCAATGCAGGCTGCGAAAGTTACACTTGGAAGAACTTTGCTGGCTTAAATTATAGACACATGATTGTGAAATTGCTGCGTTTTACTTAGTGATGTTAATACTATGGCCCATACCATCACACTCGTTAATCTCTCTGTCCTTTCATGTTGATAAATCAAGATGAATTTGAGAGAAGGTTATTTGAAATATTCAGTTGTGCTTTGCTCATTCTTGCTTATGCATATTATGTTTGTAAATTGTATTATCTCCTCTCGAGTTCTGTAACTTCATATTTATTTTGCGCCTTGTGTTGCAGCTTCAATCATCTGGATGGAAAACGGAACGCCTTATGTTACCTGCAGTCGTTTGGAAGGCAAATTGGTCATCCAGATCTTCAGACCAAAAGCTAGACTAGGGAATTTCTGTGAACTGAATTTGAGTGAGCTATTATTGAGTTATCATCATCTCTCAGGACAATTGGGTTGTTTTACACCATTTTCCTTATGATTGGAATGTAAGATATCTGGTGAAGTTGAATTGATTTGTAATAAGGTTGATTGTGCAATTTACCTAGGATTTGAGTTGATTATTAATCCACCACCAGCCCAATAAGATGTCTGAATAGATGTCTTTAATAATTGGTTCTTAGGTTTTCAGATGCCCCGATTTCTTTCCATTGCCAAAAGTATAGAGAATCTAGAAATAGCATACTACCACTAGACATACATAGCTAGTAAAATCTACTTAAAAAAAAAAAAAAAAAAATATATAGGTCTCTCCATCTAGATGTACATGGGAAAATTCTAGACAAAAAGAGTAGACTACCCCCACATCTCCACACACGGGGGAATCAAATTCCCCACACTTCTTCAACAAGACAGCAAGAAGAATACAAACCAAATAAAGTGGTGGGAGAAGAATTTGTTTCAAATTTTTTATTTTTTTATCTTACAAGAAATTGGGGAGAAAATATATTATGACAACAACAATTAATTTGAAAAATAAGTATTTTTATCTTAATAGTCTTGCTATTTCTCGTTTGTTGATCTTTAAAATCAAGTTTGATGTTCATTTAAATACTGAAAAGTTAGATTGATTATTTCTTGCAATGAATTGTGAAGATATGCATTGTTGAACGGGCAAGAAATTCAACATTTAAGGCCCCGTTTGGTAGGGATTTTTTGCCTCAAAAAATTATTTTTTGACCGTTATTTTACTATTCAAGCCGTAATTTTTGACTTCTTCTCTCACACGTGGACCCCACTTTTCTTCTAACGGTCAAAAAATCAATTCTCAAAATCCCTACCAAACGGGCCCTAAGTATGCTTGCTTGGTAAAAAGATAAAAGAGGAAATTAAAGTTTTTAGTTTTAAAAAATGATAGAAGCGAGCAATTATATTAATGGAATGCTACAAAAGTAATGAAAAACTTTATTTTCGCAACAACGAGATCCTTTTTACTACTTAAAAAGATAATTATTTTATTAAAATTTAACAACAAAAGTCACTTTCTTTCCGAATCACTTGTTGTTACGAAGATTTTAGCAGACGTTTAATATCCAATCTTAGATAATACAATAAGTGAACTTTCAACTTTTTTACTTCTTGCAGCCAGTACTTTGAAAATTGTAATTAACAGGATTCAACTGTCGTTGCTCCAATTATAGTTATATATTTTTGAAAATTTTAAAATAAGTAATACCTAATATCAGGAATGAATTTTTTGGAGTTTATTTCTGGTGTGTTGTCACTATAACATAGCACTCACACTTGCTTTTACTAATTGAGTCAATTATCAGCATCTGATTCTTCTACCCTACATCTCATCTTTGGATATCATTCTTCTTTTACTATATATTTCAAAAAAGCAAATAAAATTAAAATTGATTTAAATTAACATTCCGTCTGATGTAAATTTTTTAACAATAGATTTTGCGACTTCACATCATTTCCGCATTCCATTCTTTTTGAAATGTCTGATTTGACGAAATCCTTCGAAGGCAGACTATTCAATTCGAACAATAACGACTCAATGTGTTGTATTGTGTCGAATTCATTCCACTTGTCCGTGGGTTGAGTTTGAGTCTAAAATCAAAAATTAAAAAAACGTTTGTTCAATTTTTAAAGCGTAAACTTTAAAACTCTTATAACCATCTATTATTCATTTTAATTTTTAGACACGTGAATCTCGAGCGGTATTTTGTGTGCTCAAAAAAATTCAGATACTAGAAGGAATAAAAAATAAATAAAAATGTTACTCTTGAAAAATATTAAAAAAATAATAATAAATTTCAGGAGATTAAAAAAAATTGCAGACCGAAATGATGTTTATTTTTTGTAATAACATTTTAAAATTAACATGGGATTGTGTTAATTTAGACTCGGAAGAGTCGGTGGAATATTTTATTTTCTTATATTTTCTTTTCTTTTTGAGTAAATTGTGATATCCATTATCCACGAAACTGTGTGCTTTTCGTAGAAGTTGAGCTATCGTGATTGATCATGCACCGACCACGTGGTAGTTAACAAACTAATTTTAGTGAAAATTAATTTAGTTCATAAATTATTTTATTTAGTGTTTGCTTGGAAAAAATTTAAAGCTTGATTTCAATGAGGTAAATTAATTTTACGTGACTCACAATTTTTATCAACTTTATAATTACGTATTTGATCAAATTTTATCGTAATCAACTGAAACTTTTATCAAAATTTTTGTCAAACAACTTCGATATATAAATCTATACCTCGTACCATTTTGATGCGAAAAGAATTCATGTAAAAATCGTTGTACATATGTCATCTAACCTAAATCTCTAAAGTTTAGGTTAGTGAATCATATTACTAGATGTAGGCGTGGTAGACATGATGTAGATCAAGCCAATTATGGTAGACATGATAATAACTTGACATACTTTTAGCAAGCTAAATTAGGGTTTTCCACTATGTCAATTAAATGTAAGATTTTTTGTGTAGAGGGATAGCATTACTAATCATTGTCGATAAGGTAAATTGTCCAATTCCATACAATTCTGACAAAATCTTAATCCGTATACTATAATATGTTGAATTATAGGTGTGCGAAGTATGTTGGTACTAACTTGAGCATAATGTGCTTATTTGATGAAATTAGCACATCGACTTTGTGCTTTTCTTGCTTTTATAATAAATGTTAATCTCGCACGTGTCCATGCTTTGTCGTATTATTTTACAAAAATTACATGCCCCTCATGCTTGATTTTATGTAGCACGGAGCATTTTCAGTGAACAACATTTGATTTCGCAATTTATGATTTTTATAACTTCCATTTTATTTTTTGACCTTAATACCTATTTGGTCACGTCGAGACGATGAGCTCATTGATAATAGTTTTACCATTTTAAATTTCATGGACCTAACATTTAAAAAAAAGAGTGCTTTTAAGCATTTTTCCCCTATCATATCTCTTTTATAAAGATGAAACCTGGTTTTATCATATATGAGGTAGCTACAAAAGATGCTTTTGCAAATCTCCATCTAGTGTAGTCACTAAACCTATGTTCTTTTGCCCTTTTTTACTTTACTTAAAAGCCTTGCATTGAGTGTCAAAATTCTCCCCAAACTGACATATGGCCAAGTTTAGAAGTTCACTTTCAAATCAATGAGTAAATACTAAAATAAATAATTATTTATATCAAATTAAAGATCAATAAATTACTTATTAAATATTAGCTTCTTTCATAATAAATATCATTTATTTTATAAAACTTAATAATTAAAACATGTTTGAAAATGAAAAAAAGAATACTTTAAAGAGTAATGCCATTAACCCTGTGGTATTAAGTACCCATTTGAGTAACTCTAGTGGTTTGTACTATTAGGGCTAAATAATATTATTCTTATTTAAAAGTTGAGACAATTATTCGATGGACGATGAAATATCACTCCAAAAGTTATTAACTTTGGCATAATGATGACTATTGAAATTGCAAGAGATTATTAGGAAGTAGAAAGTTGGAAAGAAGACATATTTTTGTATTTGAAAAGTTTGATTAATTAGTTTGGAGTTCTTCATATTCGTTTAGCATATGGAGAGGCACATTGGGACCTACCAGTTGTTTATACAGCTAAACCCACCACCTCAATCATCATTTCATTGTCACTATTAGATATCACAACAATCCAAGAATATAGGTAATCTTGCTTTAAGCCAATAACAAAGTTTAATTTTCTTCACTTTTATTTCTCATCTCATGCAACCTCATGACTCAAATTGAAGAGTTAGATTGTTGTCCAATTTTACTGTTTAAATAGCTGTCCTTTCATTGCATTATTTACATGTCATCAATAATTAATATATCATTTCAAATTTATCCTCATTAACTTCGTTACTAACCAATCAAATTGATGACATGTTAGTAATTCATTGGATGAACAATCATTCAGACACATATCTAATCTCCAAATTGAGTATAGAATTGTGGATCCCAAATTTTTCTAATGCTTCAAACTCTACTCAAGCATCCAAATCTGGGTCAATAAAAATAAAAATAAAAAGAAGCAAAAAATGGCAAGAGAAATTTTATATCGATGGAGGAAATAATGATGTGGAGGAAAAGATGCCCTGTTCACATATCTCAATTGAAATCCCTCGAATCGGGTTGTAATAATTTGGAATTTAAATAGCTCGTTATAGGCTGTCTATGACCTATGACAAGAAAATATGAGACTAAATCCCTAGTCTTGAAAACTTAGATAAGACGTGGCTTGGATTTTTAGGTGGATTAGCTTACAATACGTTTAATACTCAAAGGGGTTTGCCTCAAATTTCAATAGTCCAATCTTATTTACACCTCCAAGTTTGTGAGGTGGATTTAGAACGCGTGCTTGTGGATGTGATCCAGCAGACATAAGGGGTGCCAACAATCAAGAAGCTCATCAGAATTTAAGTGGATGTCAAGGAATTTCTAAGTACGATGTGAAATGTATGTCTATAGTGGCTTCAAAAAAATGGAGATGCGTTAGAAATCCTTTTCATATGTGATATGACAAGTTGTACATAAAATTATTGAACAAGTTTAATAGTGGTTAACTTTGTATAAACTTGAACAGGTTGAACATTAATCCTGTAACATTTCAGGTACTAATGTTAACATACTTACATCCCGTTTGAGCCACATTATTGTAAAAATGAGAATGAAAAATATAGATGTTATGAGCTCCACACGAGAGATAAAAAGTCAAATATAGTAACTTGATGTGTCATATTTTTCATTTTAATGAGAATATATTGGCTCAAACAAGGCCTTATACTTTCCAATAGGGCCATTTACATTCTACAAAATTGTTTTTCTTATTTCAGACAATAAATTAAACTCTATTCTCAATCAATTCAAAATTTGTTACATGAATCTTGTATTAAACGACCTAAGTCGTCGTTCTGTCAATCCCACATTCACAATTTATTCTTTAATATTTTCTTTCCATTAACTTTGCTAAACGTGGTTGAACTGTCTCGCTTCCTCTTCATTAACCGAGCTATAAAATCGTCAACTAGTTTTTGAGTGTATTGGAATTTCAAATAGGTTATTAAACAAGCCTGGATTAAATACTGGTCGCCAAGCTTCTAGCAATGTCAGTCTTCCACACTTTATTTAGTTTCAAAATGATCACTGAACTTAAATATTATTTGACCATTGAATTTCAACATCTATTACAATTTAATCATTTCATCTATGCACATTAATTTGACTAGCGAAGAAGCTAATATAATAG